GTCAGCTGGAGTTGCAAGCTAACAAATTGTCTCCTGAGCCTTCTGCTCCACCTTCAGTGAAGGATGAAGATAACGATAGAATCACCTTGTTGGTACAAAAATACTGTTTAGAGTCGGCTAAAGAAACAGGAACAAGTGTTTGTGTGACAGGCTGCTGGTAACAAAGTTAGGTTAGTGTTAGTTGATGATTCAGAGAAAAAGAAGAAGAAATAAAACAGATTCCTCTGATGATGGTTGGGCAGAAGAAAACGCTTCAGAACTGTTGCTCATGAGCACTTCAAAAATGACAAGAGAGTCCTGCTCTCATAAACAATAAGTGGTGGCCCAAGACTTTTGCACAGTGCTGTAACTTCCTGTTCTTTGTAAAGCATGACAGCATGAAGACGTCAACCTTGTCATCGTTGCGTTGGAGGACACATCGCTGGATGAAGCTCTCGGCCAGTTTAGCGTCTGCACTCATGCTTTAATGACATCATCTCCTCGCGTCAGCATCACGAGGATCAGGTGACGCTGAGGTCGAGAGGTGGCAGAGGATGATGATGGTGGAGTCCAACACTGGTTCCTCCAAAGTCTGCGTGCAGTGAGAATTCAGAGAAACTCGGGACCGGTCTCTGCAGGAACTTTTCCTGTAGGTCCGTCACATGAGAAAGCTCTGAGGTTTAATAAATGAACAGCTCAAAGATGAGCGGCAGACTTTGAGTCCTTTCAGACGTTTCTTTCATGGAAAAAGCTGTTCGGGAGACTCGTCCATTGTTGTAGCTCACATGGCTGAGAGACAGACACCGTTTCAGACTTCCTAAACTCTGAGACGCGATGAGCACTCTGACAGGTTTGGAGTAAAACACAACCTGTGACTCATCATTGAGTTTCTCGCCAGAACAGTTCGGCCGCATCGGCGCATCTCAATCGGACACCGGAAGCTAGAGTTCATAAATCTGACAAATCAACCAGTTCAAACTCGGCAGCCAAATGTTTCTGAAACCAACATTAAGGATTTAGTGCTGATAAAGAGTCACATTAAGGTGTTTAATCACCTTTCTTTGCTTCCATAACAACAGAAGTGCAGCAGAGTGCGTGAATCGCTGCTCACTTACTTGCTGGTGCATCTGTAAGCAGCTGTTAGTCCTCAGAGGCGGCTCTTTGTGCGTCAGTGGTTTCTGGAAGGAAAAGAGGGACAATCTCCTTTAAAATCCCTTTGAGAAACCAGTCTCACAATCAAACACTAGATGGCAGTATTTAACTGAGAAACAACACGAGCTGGTCTTCATTGGTTATTCTGCTGCAGTGCTGTGGACATTTTTCACCAGAGGAAATGTTTAAATGTAAAAGTTGATTTTATAAAATGCTCCAGTTTCACTCGTTCCTCTGTGTTTGTTAAATAAAAGGATATGAGATCAGCGTGATTACCATGAAACAAACAGATGAACATATATATAAACGTGCACTTTAATTCCTCCTAAACAGTTAAACTAACAATAAAAGACAAAAACCTCAATATTTCAGTTCATGGAGACGCTGAGAGAAACTACCACTCCCCTTCGCTGTTTGGAGAGACAAGCAGCGTCCCACACTTCAGGCTAAGCAGCATGCACATTGGGCTGAGCTTAAATACACAGATAATGCTACGGTCAGCTTTAATCTGCAACTTGCTGGCTTGCCGTTCCTGGTGGCCCTTACCATATGAGGGAGCTGGACATTAGCTAAACTGTTAATCAGTGACTGGCTGAGGTTGGCCAGCTCATGCAGGAGAGATTCATTTTGCTGTTCAATCACCTTGTTTTCCTCTTCTATGGACTTCAAGTTGGACTCCATTGTTGTGATCTGCAGAGAGGGACGGTGCAGAGTTAGCGCACAGCGTCACGGGCAGCTACGCGCCACTGCAGGATCGGCTCCTACGAGGTGTGACCAGAAAGTTCTGCAAATCCACCTCGACAGGGGCTGAAAAACAAGCCGCGATTCCCCCAATGTCCACAGGAGGCGCAGTACCATTTACGCGTTCATGCTACTTTCTGCACGTTTGAGGCTCGAGCTGCAGCGAAGGATCTACAGGTAGGAGGCCCAGAGGTGCACAAGGAGACGACCTTGAAGGGAAGGCTAAACGTTAATCAGGCGTGTAATGTTGGCGTTACGCCGGGATTTGGTGAGGACACCTAAACAGTCCAGCCTGAGGGAGCCTTTTGCTTCTCTTTAATTTGGCCTCCAGTTCAGCGGTTTACTGATATCTGCACATGCAGGGGGAGGAGCTTCAAATAAAATATGCTGAAGTTCAAATTACACCTTTAGTTGGAGGCAGCATTACAGGAGGAGGAGCTCGAGGAGCTGATCCACTTCCCCAGAACCTTTTTAGCCCCGCCTCGTGACCTCATAATCTCCATAACAACGTTTGGCTTTTGAGCTCTGAGGGGCGGAGCTGCAGAACTTGACAATCACACCGGTACAGACAGGAAGCGACTCACCTGTGTTCTGAGTTTGATCATGTCTGCTTCCACTTGTGAATTCGATTCACTTAAGTCTTTGATTTCTTCATCCAGCTGTTTGATCTCCTCGTCGTGCTCCAGCCCTGCACACAAGGAGGGACTCTCAATCACGCGAGCACCTTCTGTGTGGAACAATTAAAAAGTGTGCCGGACGCTCGGCGTGCGACCGCCTCCACCTACGCCGCACCAGCTCGTTTAAGCTAATTAAGACTCAACAACCTCACAGACACATTACAGCAAACCCAGCCCTGTTCCTCGGCTCCCCTCATTATTCACACCCCGCTCTCACACATACACACTCCTGATTGGTCCATTATGTGGAATTGGAAGTCTCTTCAGTAAATCGCTCCATGGCCGTGTTCCTGATTGGCTGTATTGTGTGTGTGAGTGGTAGCTGCCGTTACCGTTGCTGGCACGCTGCTGCTTTATTGTTAGCATTTCCACTCCGGAGAGCCTGGCTTTCCTCATGGCGGAGGTGGCACGCGGACAACCTGACAGACTGGAGGCAGCGACAAGAACAGGAAGCATTGTTTCAGTATATGATGGCGCCACAGACACACACACAGCGAGCCAACGCTCTCCACAGATGGAAACCCCAACCCCCCCTTCCCCGGCCCCGTTTTTTTTTTCTTAAGGAGGGGCGGTTGTTGTTGTTTTGGCAACTTTCACCAAGCAGCAGCCTGCAGTTCCTGCAGCGTCCAGCAGGGGCGCCAGAAATAAACATGTTTACAGCCCACAGTGCTGTCATATTTAATATACTGTCAATCAATCAATCAATCAATCTTTATTGGCAGAATTTACGTCCATAGTTAAAAAAACAACACAACATATAAACCTTAAAAAATTATAAAATATTTTTAAAGACATAATATACATAAAATACACAATTACATAAAAGAAATCAATAAATACACAAACAGTTTAACTGGTGCTTCCTCAGACTGTCGATCTGTGAGCTGCTAACCCTGTTAGCAGAGCCGTGCAGCATCCAAACACCCACAGCTACAAACGTCTGACTGACACGACCCCCTGTAGGTGTCCTACCAAGGATGCTCATTGCATCACTATATGCAACGTGCAGTTTCTGCACTGTCTGTAAGATACAAGGGAGCAGCATGTAGCGGTGTGCAATACGCTTTAAACAAAGCTACTGTAACTGGAACCGAACAGAAGTTGAGTTTGGACATAGAGCTTCCAGCGCTGTCTGTATATGTCATATAATATGGGTGGGGGAAAAAAATGGATACTGTGTAGCATGGTGATATTTTGTTTGCTAATAATGTATGGATACAGGGACAGCAGAAATCGATATTTTGTTACAAAAAGGTTTTTGTGCTCTGACTTCAGAGCATGTTGATCCTTTTTCTGAGCAAGAATCCTGACATTCCTTCACTGTCCAAATGTGTTTCACTTGTTTTTGGCAGCAATAAACATGACAGTTTACTTATTTTAATTTAAGACATGTTTTATTTTAATTAAGTTTAAAACTTTTTTATTTAATGTAAAATTATATTTTGTTTTAATTTACTTTCAAATTCTTCAGTTGCTGAAGGGGCTGCATAGTTTTCATAAACTGCATAGTTCAGAATAGCTATAATTGTACCAGATGGTTGATTCAGTTAAGTTGGACTAGACTGTAATACAAACCGTTCAGTTTGTCAACAATCAAACTGAAATGAGAGAAAGACTGAGTGTGAGACTTTGATATTAGAGAAAATGAATATTGATAAAGTTTACCTTTATGTACAGAATCTGAATATCGCAAAATATTTTTAAAAATTGCAATAATATCGTATCGTGGGATGTATGGTGATTCCCACCTCTATCATATAAGTGTAATTGGTTTCCATGCAAAAGCTAAAGGAAGTGCTAAAAGCGTCCTGCAGTCAGACATGTAACCCCCGTGAGTGACGCTCAGGCTAAAAGCTCTCCATCCAAGCTTGTGTCCTGAAACACGTTTGCTTATTCACTGCGAGCTCTTTCTGCACACATGGAAGCTCGACCGCTGAGTTTTTGACTCATTCAGCAGTCGAGCTGTGGAGATGAAACTGTGTTCGTCTGTGGCAGAAGTTCCCACAGGTTGCTCGGCCGTCCCCCTTCTGTCCGGTTCATCCTGAATCAGCTCGATGGGCTTTGTGTTTGCAGACTGTGCAGCTCTTCCATCGTCTGAAGCCTCCATCTGGTCCTAATGTTTTGTCTGTAGGACGCAGCCCTGCCTGACCCGCCTGTCTGCCTGCCTGTGTTTCCATCCACACTGCAGATAGCACCGCCCTAATAACACATCACAGTGCTGCCTGTGTTTATACATTTATGTACGTTCTTCTCCTTAAAGCTCCGCCCACACACCCCTGACTCACCTCCGATGCGTCAGGAAGCTCCCGCTGACGTGACCCGAGCCGTCGCAGCCCGGCGTCGGGCAGGACATGCCCTCCGTCTTCCCGGACTTCCACGTGAACTGAATGCCATTCAGGTATCCGTCCTTTTGCCTCTTGGCTGCAATGGGGCATCCGGACGCGCTTCTGTGGGACGCGTACTTCCCTGTCACATGACCCTGACCGTCACATCCTGGGACCGGACACCTGAGGGGGGGGAATCACATTTTCATCATACAGGAGATAACGTCCTCTCTGTGACCTGTGAGCCGGAGCTCGTGCTTCCTCAGCGGCGAATTGCTGAACAGCTGATGTTATTTTTCTGTTTTGCGTCTTTGCTTTTGCTCTGATTTAAACAAAGATACGATCATCTTATTTTAAAGCTGTCCCAGTGGCAGCTCTTATCGCGGGGGGGGGACAGTGTCAGCGCATCAACACCCACGCTAATCAGATGCATCGAGGCAGTAAATTATTCCAAATGTCACAGCACGCACAGCGGATTACGGCTAAAGCCGAGGACGTATCAGTTCTGTCTGCTTTTAGTTCAACCTCATGGAAAACAGATAGAGGAGGTTCAGCGGCTTCCTGCACGGAGAGGAATTTATTTCATTCATCTTCTGTCAGCTCAAAGCTTCCCCTGAAGTGATGGGACAGTCCTCTCGCACATGCAGGACAGTCTGAACTCGTCAGGCTGAGCTGCTTCACTAGTTTCCTTCTGAGGAGAAATATCTGATTAGATCTACAGCCCCCCCTCCCCCCCAATCTGGGGCGTATCTCGTTTCCCCGCCCCTTCATTCATTCCTCACATAAACTCTCCATCACGCCGTCTCAGTGAGCCTCACCGATAAGCGTGCATAAACCAGGAAGACGCTCTCGTTTGCAGCAGCTTGTCTTCCTCTTTCGGCACGCCCTGTAACCGCGGAGCATCCTAACACGGTCAGCGTGAGCCGACTGTCCTCGCCATCCGGCAGAATGAGGAGCGTCGGAGTATTGTTTGTGCTCTGCACCACCAGAGAAATCAATGCAGCTGCAGAGCTGAGGCCAGAGAAGCACATCGCGGGTTCGGCTAAAGTCAATCAATCTCTCTGCCTCCGTCTCTTTGTCTTTCCTACCTGTGTGTCTGCAGGAGACTGCAGCACCTCCCTCAGCCTCCTGTGAACTCACACAGCTCTCCGACTTTCTCCTTCACTCTCCGGCACAAACTTTGCCCTCCGAGGACATCCGTCCTGTCAGAGCTCATACTGACTCCGGCTCACAGCCGTGCACGGCTCCTTTGCATCATTTAAAAGTCGTACATCACATCACGTGTCACGCGGGAAATATGTGGCGAGCAGAGCTGGTCCAGGAGGAGGAGTTATCACGGGGGAGACAGAAGACAGATGATGAGTGTCTGTACTGCACCTGATAGGCTCCTGGTCCTCCTTGTTCTCTTTGCTGTGGATGATCTTTATCCCGCTTTTCCTGGCACGCGGACACCCTGAAAGACTGTAGATAAATGACAGCGTTACGGAGAGGAGCGCGATCTGCAGGATTAATACGTGCACGGCGCGGCGGCGCTTTACCTTCTGTGTGAGGCGTAGTTGCCAGTGATATGTCCCGAACCGTCGCACCCTGGTGTCGGGCACCTGGGGCACAAAACGCAAAAAGGGCTCAGGGCCTACGGCATCTCAGCTGCAACGCGCCACATTCATCTACAGGAAAGAGCTGCGAGGTCTGCTTAAGACGGACGATCTGATTCATTCATTCATTCATGAAGTTCCAGTGTTGCAAAGACAATATGTATAATGTTTACTGTTTATTAAAGTATCCTGAAACGAACTCTAACTGCTGGATTGGTGGACCGAGGCGGTTTCTCGCAAGTCAAGTAGTCACAAAAGTATGACGTCACAACAATGTGATTGGTCACTTGCAATGTTGAACCTGGAACATTTATTATGATGATGTGGGAACAACAGCGACACGAGGTTATCAGATCGTGCGCTTCAGTGTCAGAAACCGCAGTTCCTCTAACGTCCACCGGAGGCTCTAAGAGCCAGCCAATCCCCATCCTTTCATAACGGCCGCAGCTTTTTAAATCATATCATCTGACCATAACACAGCTGCTGGGAGGTTACCGTAGTAACTGAGCCGCCAACAAGTCCGAGCTGCAGTTTAGGTGAAATTCTGGGATGTTACTGATCAGCTCACCGGTACAAATATCATCACTTTGAACCTTGAGGGTGGAGCAGCTGCACGTGCAGATGTGAGGACGTTACTGTGTGCCACACACTGATCTTAATCCGGAGGCTTCTTTAACAATATTTACGTCTTTTTTTTGCCATAAAATCTCTAAAATATGCGGCGAGCTCCTGCCGCTGTCGTCACGTCCTCACACACACGTTTCTCCATCACTGTGGGATTTAAATCACATGCACGTCTTTCCCACTCGGCCCTCTTCAGTCCCCTCAGCTCTTTCACTCTGCCTGCAAACCTCTTTGTGTGAGCTCGACATACAAATCAAACGTGTGAGTGAATCATGTCACGCCTTACTTGAGCTCTTGCGCGTTGTTGGCCAGCATGCTTCGAATGCTTTTGTCAGCTAAAGGACAACCTGAGAGACTGGAAGATACAGCAGTGGAGCGTTAGTCACACAAGGATCAGGGAGGGAAACTCCAACACTCCCACTACTGAAACACAACACAAGCAGCCTGCACTCACACTCCTGCTCCACAGCATGCACAGAAAACACACGATAGCAACCAGGAAATGTAATAAAGCCATGATGCACGTGCAGGGAGCTGAGCTTTAACGTTAACCCTCTGAGTATTTGCGCCCGTGGCCAAAGGTTGGGTGCAGCGGCTCAAACGGGGCTGAAAGGCGTTTCTGGAAACTTTGCCGGGATCGTGAGTTTTGATGCGGGGAATCCAAAAGTGCGAGGCTTCGCTCGCTCCGTGCACTCGACCCACACTCAGCATTTCTGCTTCCACCTGCCGTCTCTGATTGCTTAGTCTGCATCACTGTGGGAAAGGCCTGGAGGAGCGAATAACACCAGCTTAGACGGCTTTACGCACGGCCCGTCGAGGCTTCATCCCGGGGTTTAGCTTAGGAAAACGTAGCCGATCTTTAATTAATTTCTAGTCTCTTCTTATTCCCGTGTTTCAGCCCCGCTTCAGCGTGACCGGTCAAATAGTCAAAGGGCTAACAGATCAGAGAGAGAGAGGAGAGAGAGAGCCTACAGGTGTCTGACAGCATAGTCGAGGTAAGCTGAAAACAATAAAGAGAAATAGACTTAGAATCCACCAGGAGAAAAGGAAGTCACACCTTCGATGTGAGGCGAAATTGCTCGTCAAGTGACCACTTCCATCACACCCCGGTGTGGGACATCTGCCACCGGAAAAATAGACAGATTTATAAGCCCAAAGGGAAGGAGAAGGAGAAGTGAAAATTAGAGAAAAAGCGGGGGAGGGGGGTCGTTTCTGGTGTGTTCGGTTTTCATTGTTTCCAGTTTAGCTTCACTGTCTCTGCTTCACACTCCTGACATCTCCACACTGACAGCGTCCGTAAAGCGTCTACCGCAGCGCAGGATTTACCAGGTCTGAGATCAGCGTGGACACACGGGTGACGCTGGGAAGTAAAAGTCAGAGCAAAGCCAGCAGCGCCGCACGGGGGGGAGGAGGGAGGGAGGTGGTAGGCCGAGAGGAGGATGGAGGAAGAAACAAGGTGGAGGGGAAGCAGAGCATGAGTGGGGAGAGGCAGGTGGGGTCAGGTGGGAGGAGGAGGAGGGGGAGGGCGCTTACGTTATCAGGTCCTTCTTCGTCTCCTTGCACTGCAGGTATTTGGGCTTGGGGCTCGGCATGTTGACGTCTGTGGTGTAGGAGCGGTCGTCCAGGAGGTCGTGGAAGGGGTCGAGGTCGTCCGGCTGTGGGACGGGGGCGTGGAGAGGAAGACACGGGGGGGGGGAAAGGTTTTTAGTGGTTTTACACTTTCATTAAAGGAACAGTTCACCTCAAATCACATCGACATCTTTTCCAGCTGCGCATTTTCAAATATGATGGAACAAACTTCTGTTTAATTTAAACAGACACAGAAATAAATATAATAAATGTGCGAGAAGTTTTTAGATCAACTTCATTTATCCAGCAGCCAAAACATTAAATACGTCTGCGTAGAAAAATAAATGAAACATGACAAAACAAATAATTTAAAGCCACATAAAAGAAATTAAATATGAGAAATAAAGTAAACAAACAAGTACAATAATTATGGAATAATTTAAATAGAGTTAATGATGTTTCATTGTTATTTGTGTTTTTACTGATCTATATTTAGTTATGGATTTATTTCCTGTTACATTTCTTTATGCATGTGCTTTTAAATAAACAGGAACATTAAATCAAAGGTAATGATTTTCACATTTGATGAAATATTCACTGACATTATGAATATATTTATTGCATTTCTTTCATTTTGGCCGTTCCTGTCCTCCGTAGCCTCGAGGCACAAACAAACTCTTTGTATATTTTTTGTGTGTTTGGAAAATAAACTGGAAACAATTAAAGAAGCAAATAAAAACACAGATATCAATAAATTATATATTTATAAATTATTTAATTCCTGTATTTATTTTGGATCATTTTTTATCTTTTTATTCCGTTGTTTTGGCAGTTTCGATCCTCCGTACTTTCTCTGAGCTTCACTCTTGCACAAACTTCGCCGTGTGATCGCAGCCTTCGTGAGCAGTTTCAAATATATGAATTCATTTTGAAGCAGCCGCACACGTTCGTCTGAGGAGCGCCTCTCCTCTCATAAACTCGTCTCTTAGCGGGCGTGAAATCTTAAAATGTAGGAGACGTCTGATAAAACATAACAAACCAAAGTGAGTGTATGACGCGCTCGATGTGGTCACGTGTGGGTCGAACGATCATCGCTGTCAGTCTGACAGGAAGTAAGCCCTGAGAGGAAGCGCTGCCTCCCTCGTGCCTTTGCACACATTCATGGTGAGAACGCTCAGGGAGTCGGCCCCCTCGTGATGCAGCTTTCGGCCACTAGATGGCACTGCGGTGAAGCGCCAGCACGCCGCAGCCTGCCTTCTGTGGGCCTTTGTCTGCAGTGCTTGCGGCCGGGGCTCGACAGCCGTGGATGCAAATCCTCTTTTCCTTCCCTCAGTGCTTGCAGTGTACGTACAGTAATGCCCATAAAGAGACAGGTCCAGATACAGCCCAAATTATCCAGCACTCAAGCTGTCTCAGGGTGCGCGACGCTGGGTCGGGCCAGCCAGTTTCGCCAATTAAAGGGAGCGCAGGCTGCGAGGCGGCCACGCGGGGGAACGACGCAGGCATAGATGCAGAAAGTAGGCTAGCATCTACACACTCCCAAAGAGACACACACACACACTCTTATGAATATTCACACACAGCAAAAGAGGCACATGTACTGTACATGCATGCGCCCGTCGCAGCAGTGGTGCATTGATTTCCTGCAGTTCTTTGATGAGATGAGCTATTCCGATTCCCTCCCAAGGTGCTACTTTGCATAATTCATTTTTGGAGAGGAGCGAAATGTAAAAACAGAAAGCCAGCGTGCAGCGAGCACGACGCAAACAGAGACGGTAACTCCGCGCACGGCGGCGCTGACATCAATTAACATGCAGATTCATTAGGTTTCCCTCAAAAATCCCCCTCGTACGACTTTCTAATGATTCCAAATATAACAGCGAGTCAGACGGCGAGGTAAGAAACCTCGAAGACGATCAGACGGCAGTGCAAATGTTTGACTTGGAGACGGAGTGTTGAATCAATGGCTTGGAGGGAGATAATTTGGGCTGAGCCTCGCTGAGCAGACAGCGTAAGTGACGCATGCCAACTGTGTGGTCTATCAGCTTCCAGAGACACACGCCTGCTTGTAATTATCAGCAGCAGCGTCACGGCCGCCCGCGGTCCGCCGCTCCCCTCCCTCACCCTCCTGCTCATCCGTCACGAACACTCAAAGATGGAGACAGACGTGATCTCGGCGACCTTTAGGCCGTGACCCCTTTACCTCTTTCTCGTCCTCGTCTATGTGTTTGATCTTGGTGTAGTCTACGGGCAGGTCCCAGCAGTCTGCCGCGTCCCCCATGCCGTAGCAGCGGGAGCCCAGCAGGGCGGCCTGCCTCTGGGGGGACATGGGCTCAAGGGGCGTTAGCACCGAGTCGCCTGCGCC